TGCCCCAAACGTCAAAAATTTCAACTTGAAGGTTATTAGTCAAAGGCATTTCATTCCTACGACCTATGTTCCCAGTCCTTTGGCATCGATCACAAGAACGACAGAAAATTTGGGCATCTTTAAAAAGGGATGGCCAAAACAAACCTGATTGTAATACCTTAAAAGCGGTTTTCTGACCGCCAAAGTGGCCGCCACAGTGGAATCCATGGCAGAAAGCGAGGACATCAGCTTGCTCCTTTTCCGGAACACATCTCCTAAGCACTTCGTCCTTTCCCATCTTGAATAAGAATGGCACGTCCCAGAAGTAATCCCTACACACAGAAATAAAACGTTTTCTCTCTTGGGAAGAGAGATTAGGCCGCAGTTTACCACAACACAAGTAATTCACAATGTCAGCGTACCAAACACCTTTCGACACTTCATGTGCATGCTCATAAGGAAAATTATCATTAATAGAATGATGCACAATCAATGATGAAGATGAATCAGATGGTACTATGCGTGACAAGTGATCAGCAACTACATTCTCAGAACCTTTTTTATCCTTAATATCAACATCAAACTCTTGCAATAATAAGATCAACCGGACGAGCCGTGGTTTAGAATGAGTTTTGCTCAAAAGGTACTTCAAAGCCGCGTGGTCAGAGTGAATAATCACCTTAGAACCCAAAATGTATGATCGAAATTTTTCAAGAGAAAAGACGACGGCTAGAAGTTCCTTCTCGGTGGTAGTATAATTCAGTTGGGCCCCATTAAGAGTCAAGCTAGCGTAATAAATCACTCAAAGCAACTTATAACCTCGCTGACCCAAAACGGCGCCCACTGCAAGATTAGACGCATCACACATTATTTGAAAAGGAATAGACCAATCAGGGGCAATAACAATCGGGGCACTCACAAGTTTGCTCTTCAATCCATTAAAAGCACACAAACAAGCATCATCAAACACAAATGGCACATCTTGAGCAAGCAAATGACACAGCGGCTGACTAATCTTAGAGAAATCTTTAATAAATCGCCTATAAAACCCTGCATGCCCCAAAAAACTCCTAATCCCCTTAACATTCACATGAGGGGGAAGTTTTTCAATAACATCTACTTTGGCCTTATCAACCTCAATCCCCCTACAAGAAACAACATGACCTAAGACAACTCCACTTCTGACCATAAAATGACTCTTTTCCCAGCTCAAAGTCAAATTGGACTCAATGCAACGTTCAAGGACTCTAGATAAATTACGGAGACAATGAGAAAATGAATCACCAAAGATAGAGAAGTCATCCATAAATACCTGTAGGCAGTCCCCGAGCATATCTGAGAAAATGGAGAACATGCACCGCCGAAACGTCCCTGGTGCATTACATAGGCCAAAGGGCATCCGTCTGAATGCGAAGGTGCCAAAAGGGCACGTGAATGTCGTCTTGGGCTGATCCTCGGGTGCTATAGCCACTTGGTAGTAGCCGGAGAGTCCATCCAAGAAACAGTAGAACTGGTGGCCCGAAAGACGGTCTAGGATCTGGTCAATAAACGGCAACGGAAAATGGTCCTTCTTGGTCACTGCATTCAGTCGCCTATAATCGATGCACATGCGCCACCCGGTAGTGATGCGGGTGGGGACCAACTCCTTCTTATCATTCTCAATTACGGTTATGCCACCTTTCTTTGGTACCACATGGATTGGGCTAACCCATTCACTACTCGCCACATGATAAATCAACCCTTCAGAGAAAAGTTTCAACACTTCCTTCTTGACTACCTCCATCATGTTCGGGTTTAGCCGTCGTTGGCTATCCTGAAAGGGTTTTGCTCCCTCCTCCAAGATAATCCTGTGCATGCATGTAGATGGGCTGATTCCTTTGATGTCTCCTAAGCTCCATCCAATTGCTTTCTGATACTTCCGGAGTATGGCTATCAATTCCTCTTCTTCCTCGATGTCGAGCTCAGAAAAAATGATCACCGGTTTCTGTTTGGCATCATCCAAGAAGACGTACTTAAGGTGCTTGGGCAGCTCCTTAAGCTCAAATGTGGTCTCAGCTCTGGAATGGCCTTCTCCCACATCAAAAAGTTCAACTGTAGGCTCCTCTTCTTCCTCAAAAACCGGTTTTGACACTTCCTCGAACTCATGAAGTACCATCTCATCGACAAAGGGGTCGGTTTGATCAATGAAGGCACACTCTTCTACAAAATTGACCGAGGATGCGGACCCGGCCTCCCGAACGGAAATAGACACTGATTCCCCCAAAACTGTCATATTCAGGGTTCCGTTCTTCACGTCGATAAGAGTGTTAGTTGTTGCCATGAAGGGTCTCCCGAGGAGGATGGTGTGATCCTTCCCATTCTCGTGCACATCTCCAACGTCTAAAACAACGAAGTCCACTGGAATGATAAGCTTGCCCACCTTCACGAGAACATCCTCGACTATACCATTAGGGTACCAGATGGAACGGTCTGCTAACTGGAGGCACATGCGAGTTGGCCTCAAGTCCCCAAGGCCAAGCCTCTGAAAAATCGAGAAGGGCATAAGATTAATTCCGGCTCCGAGGTCAAGCATCCCCGAAGCTACCTTCCCGTTACCCAAGGCGATCTGGATAATAAAGCCTCCTGGGTCACGCTCCTTCTTGGGCAAGTCGTGCTGCATTGCGCTTGCCGCTTCGTACACAACTACCTTTTCACCATCTTCAAACTTCCTCTTCTTGGTCACCAAGTCCTTGAAGAACTTACCATAAGATGGCATATTTTTTATCACATCAAGAAGTGGCAAGTTGACATTCACCTTGGAGAGCATGCTGAAAAGATCCCGGAACTGCTTTTCTTGCTTCTCGTCTCTCAGTCGGTCTGGAAAGGGAACGCGCGGTTTATATGGATTAGGTGACTTATGTAGCATCGGCTCGTCAGTTGCCTTATCGGGCTCTGCTTCCTTTAACTTTTCCGAATGAGTCTCCTCCTCCTTGGGCTCGGGCATCTCCACCTTGTTATCCACAACCTTCCCGCTTCTGAGTACCGTGATGGCTTTGGCTTGCTCGGGCTGGCTAGGTAACTTTCCTTTGTCGGATTCGGCCTCCATATGCCCGACCCTAGTGGCTAGCTATCCCAGCTGTGTCTCTATACGCTTGATAGAGGCCTCATGATTAATATTCCTCTGCTCACTATTGGCCATGAATTGAAGGATTTTGTCAAGCTTGTCGTCTTGGGGAGTCGAACTCGATCCTTCTCCCGGTGCTTGCTGCTGCTGCTGCTGCTGCTGAGGTTGGTAATTCGGACGTGGCACAAAGTTGGGTCGAGGTTGTTGCTGGGTGAAATTCGGACGGGGTGGTTGGAGGGTGTTCGTGTTGTTTGACCAAGAGAAGTGGGGATGATTTCGCCATCTCGGGTTGTACGTATTGGAAAATGGATCATTGTCTGGTCGATTCTGGTATCCCTGTAGAGCACTAGCATCCATATATTGCTCGCCCGAGTCCTGATCGAATGATAGGGGACACACTTCGGATCTATGCCCTGGGGCTCCACATGCCCCACATGTGTCAACGGCCATAGTCTGCGACCGAAGCTCCTGAGTTTTCTGATGGGAGTAATACCTCCCTATGAACTTCGAATAAACCTCCGTCCAGGTAGTGAGAGAGCCAGGTGCAAGCGTCATGAACCAGGCCTTGGCCCGGTCCTTAAGCGTCTCGGGGAAGCAACAACTGTTCGTCATTTAGTCCATTCAGAGGGAAAGTGTTGAGTACATTGTAAAATTCTCGGATGAAGTTGAGTGGGTCCTCGCTTGGAAGTCCGTGAAATGCCAGAAGCTGGTTGTAGTGAATCATTTTGAGCTCGTAGTTCCATGCTTCATCCGGCAATCGAATGCACGAAGTGATTGGCCCGATCACCGGTTGGGCTAAGGTTCGGAGGGTGTTACGGGGCGGTTGCTGCTGTCGTTCACCCATGTCGGAGTTACTACCTTCGGACGATTGTGGAGAATGATCGTCCCCTTTGGGTGATTCGAGGGTAAGCTCTTCCAGTAGTTCTCTTAGGCTTTCGTTGAACGGTTTGTCGATAGGAGATATTACGCGTCCACTCCTGGTGCGCATACACAAAGACAAAAGAAACCGTCACGAGCACCAGATAGACAAATAATTTACCTAAAGAAAAACAATCAAGGTAAAACAAAAACTATTAACAAAAGAAACAAGAGAAACACTAAAAATAAAATGAATAGGCGCACAATATAAACCTAAACCTTCCCCGGCAACGACGCCAATTTGTTGTAAATATTTTTTTAACCGGGGTAGAATCGAAAGAATCGACACCGGGTCGTACTCAAGGAAGGTTAGCCGGAATAAACTGCACGACTATTCAAACACACAAAAAAAAGAGAAACAAAATCTAAACACTCTAATTCAAATTGTTGGTTTTTTTAATTATCAACTACGAATTCTCAAATAAATAAATGAAAACAAACGAACTATCGGATCCAAACGAAATTCAAATAAGGTTGTGGAAGTTGAGGAATCGGAGATACTCGCATATGGTTCTCAACAACTATTAATTGCTTATCCACTCGGTTAAGAGATTTAATAATTACTTGCTTAGAAATTTGTTCTCAATAACTGTCCGTAACAAGAAAACAAACACAAGCAATTCATTATCTGAACAATCAACGCATAGGCAATACATTGACGAACAAGCCTATTCTAAACGAGCCACATTCAACCAATTTCTCCCCTTTCGGTTCTACAAATTGATTAATTAGATTAGAATGGTGATCAAGCATCTAACCCTAGATTAAGAACAACTCGAATAGATTGAATGGTAAGCAAACATACATGAATCACGAACGAACCAATACGAATATCTCCTATCCCCAACAAAAGATTTAGCTACTCATAGTAATTTGAACATAAGAACTCATAACAATCCAAGCACAAAACATCATAATTAAACGAGAAAAGTTGCTTACGATTGATAAGAAAACCAATGTCGAAAACAAGAGCAATCCAAATCCGAAAGCTAACTCCGAAAACAAAATCTTGAGATTATTCACCTTCAAGATTAAATCTAAAATCAAAGAGAAGAAAATTCAAAGAGAAAAGATGTGTTTTCTCCAGAGAGCGTTCAAAAGTAACAAAAGTACGGAATGCCGATTTATGCCCTCCGATCTCTCTTTTTATTATTCCCCATCGAAAAACGTTTAAAATAACTGCGACCCGTAATTTTAGCTTCCCGGCGCCGCGGCGCGAGGCCTGCCGCGGTGCGACAGATACATGTTAACGGCTCGATCACGGAGGGTTTGCCGCGGCGCGATGCTCGCCGCGGCGCGACGCCTGGAGACTCGTGGAGCTATGTTCGGATTGTGGTGCTTCCGCGGCGTGGCAGTGAAATTTCTGCCGCGGCGCGGAACTCGCCGCGGCGTGGCGCCTGGGAAGTGGGCTGAGTCGCCACGGCGCGACGCGTGCCGCGGCGCGGGGCCAGAAAAAGCATCCTCTAAAGATCGTGTCGCGGCGCGGAGCTCGCCGCGGTGCGGTGCATGCCAAAACTCCTATGTCGGGGTCGTGGGCGTCTCTCAGCGCGGGGTCTGGAGAGAGGTTGAGCTCGGAATGATTCCTGTGTTATTCTTCCTCCACACATGTGATGAAAATTCGAGACCTACACACCACCGAAGACGAGAAGAACATACGAAAAACAAGCAAAAAAATATGAAATAATGAAAAACGAGAAATAGACGGCACACAAGTGAAACGAACGACTGGTGGACCAAAAGAACTAAAAAGGTACTAAAACGGGGGTAAAAACCAACAAATAACCAAAGAAAAAGATAACAAAAATGGGACAAACAAGCTTGAATGAATAAGGGTTCGGTACGATCTTGAGGTCGTACATGAGAAGATTATAGTTTCGACCTGGTGGGCGGATGGGTCATGAGGTCGCTGTGAGGACCTAACTTAGGAGCTGTGTCAGGAGAGGGAACATAATCCTGGTAAAGATGGTAAATATATCTCACTAAAGATTATAAGATCTCAAAGACGTGTGATACTAGGAAAGGAGCTACGGTAGGAATTATTTCTTAGTAATGGGGCTACTTGGGCAAGAAGATAACCTACATATAAAAGGAGGTTACCAGGTTATATGCAAAATTATAGCATTATTACGCTTTAAGATACAATTTTTGTAAATTAATGACTGAGATATGACTTAAGCGTGGAGGTTTTCCGCCGAAATCGCTCGCCGATGTGTTTTGCAGGTCACCGCAACTCAAAGCGAAAGGCAGTTCGTGGTGGTGCTTGTCCAAAAACCGATACAGACACGATTTACGTATAATCACTATTTATGTTATTTTATAAACTATGATATTGTTTTAACGAAAATATGAACAATGATATGTCGGTTTAATAGTTAGACCAATATAAGTGTAATTTTATATTTTTTCATGGAGGTGTGTAACTTTTTTTATTTATCACTTTTATATGAGTGCTTCATAGCCAGTTAATTTTGACAGAATGTAAAGAATTTTCTTATAATCGAATCATGTTTGTTTTCATATTTTCAATTCAGTTGATACTCTATTAGTTTTTCCTTTGCCTCTTCGGTAAATTTGTGTTTATTGTTTTTCAACTATATAATAAAATATCTATCTGTTTATTTAGGTGTTCATTTGATAGTGGGAAAAAAAAAAAAAAAAACCAATCTCCCAAGTTTGTTGTTTAGGCGTACTGATAGATAGATATGGTTTGGTTTGTAAAGCAATAATTGTACAGTCACATCTGTTTCTCCCAACAATACAAATGTTATCAGAAGTAAGAATGTAGGATATGCTGCCATGACCTCTTAGCCTACTGGTTAAGAATGAGTTATCCATGGCCAGAGGTCATGGGTTCAAGTCTCCCGAAGCGTAGATGGTGGAACAATTAATACTAAGGGCTACAAGCGGCAGTGTAGGAGGCTGAAACTCGGTGGGAACCAACAGTTGGATAGGTAGGGCCAGCATGAAGTTGGGGGGAGGGGGGGAGGGCAGTTGAGGGTGTTAGGAACCTGTGAGCCATTGCGTGGCCACCGCGATTTAACTGGAGGCAGTTTCTAAGGGGCCGGAGGCTGTTTCCTCGAGAAAATAGTTAGGCGCAAGCCTGTAACCTCGGTATCAAAAATAAATAAATAAATAAATAAAAAATGTAGGATATGCAATTATGCCTACCTTAAATGCCTTGTCTAGATACCGAAGAGATTAAAAAAAAAAAATGATGTGAATAGGGCCCTTTAAAAGGACATGTAATAAAAATAAAAAATGATGTAAATAGAGTGTTGAAAAAATCAGTTATAAAACTTGAGTTTGACCCGGTTTTGACTGAATTTTTTATGGCTAAATATTTAATTTGAGTTGAATTAAATATTGTAGAAAAATTCTACGTTCTGAGTAGATACTCGTGGTATATTTATTTTCTCAAAACTGATTTTCGGTGAGTGAGAAATAAATTGTTAAAGTTAGCCATAAAAGGGCACGTAAAACGTTGGTTGTGGGATTTGAAGGGTCAAGAGTCACTCCCACATTGGACTCTTAAATGAGTTTAACTCTCTTTATTATAATAAAGAAAGTTGGAAAGGTTACAACAAGCACAAAGCTATGCACCAAGTGTTGGTGTTGTTTTCGGCCACACGCGTGCGCGCACGCGCCCGCCCGCCAGCCGGCTCGGGCCCGGGACTTGGGACTTGGGACGTGGTCCTTGGTTCTTGGTTCTTGGCAATTGGACTTTGGGCTGGACTTTGGCTGTTGGGCTTGGGCCCAATCACTATATATCTTTTTGCTGCAATTTTATTTGCAATTTTAGGCCCAACTGGAAAATCCATTTTGGACTTGGACTCGGGTTTTGACCCAACCCGAGTGAGACCTCTCTAGGTACAATGAACCTGGACATCTGACTGTTCAGGTGGAATGTTAATGGCTGGTTAATGGTCTTAACACCTGGTTAATGGTGTAGTAACACCAGAAATATTTTTTGGCTCATTATCTCTGCCTTAAGTGACAGATGTGACTGTTGGTTTCCCTCAATATGTGGAAGTCCTATGAATAGGACATAGAACTGCAGAGAAAAACACACAACATTTTCATGCAATCTGAATACTCTCAAAGTCTCACGCATCATATCATAGTGCTCAGTTCTCGTCTTTGAATCCGTTCGCTAGAACTCTGAAGGCTGGTGTGCTACAACTTCAGAGTGTATTGCCGTTGTATCTTTGGGGACATTACGCAAAGACCCGTCAGCACTATACGGGGCGTATTTGTCTTGCGGAAAGATTTCAATCGCCTCAGCTCTAATCTGTCCGCATTCATGTTGTGATTTTTTATTTTGTTTTAGTTCTTCTTGTACGAACTGAACATTTCAGTCAGTTCATAGGTTCCCGTTGTAATTCATAACACATTTTGTGTAACAATCGCAAGACAAATCTCAGACCTACTGAACTGATGGCATCCGCTGGAGAAGGATCAAAAACTCAACCACCTGTCACCCCCGTTGTTCATCATCCCCAACATGCTGTTCATGTTCCCACTGCTGAGAAGCTCGA